GGAGAGCTCACTAGCTCTTACAACCCAAATCAAAACGATAGAGACCCACTCCAACGGTGACCTAAGAACACCTAAGACCAACCCGTAACTAAAGGCAAGTACGAAGATTTGGATCCTTTAGAGTAACAACAAGAAGATCACACAACCTAAAAAACCCAAATCAAATAAAGCAAAGGGGGCCACTGAACTTAAGAACCTAGTCCCCAAAAAACAACAAAAATAAGCAAACATACTACCAAGTTCCTATCTGCTAAAATTCCGACCATTCTCTGAGAGCCGAATTAGATACCACTATGGTCTCCGACATCCAAACCTTTGAAAAAACCATAGGTTACGCGACTTTGAAAGCCACCAGAGGATGTACGTTGAGAGTTGGATTCTTTCTTCGAAATTCGGAGATTTATCCATTTCAGCTATCCACCACTACCACCACCTTCTGAAATCTCTTGTAGATGTTGCAGACACATCTAATGACACCGGGGCTAACTTCCAAATAGCTCTGGCTCTGGTACAATCAAACAGCAAATGGCTCACAATTTCCCTATGTTCCCCATAACAATGGCACAGAACATCAACCTCCATACCTCTCATTATCAGATTTGAGCTCACTGGCAAGCTGTCAGAAAAGCATTTCCAAACAAAATGTTTTAGTTTGTCTTCACTTTTAACTCCCAGAATCTCATTCTGGCCTTTTTATCATTCTGGATAGAGGTACTGCTCCCAAGATTATCAAAGCTTAGGACTTTCTTCAAAATGGCTGCTGAGTAAAAAGAGGCAACTGAGAATGTGCCCTTTGAATCTTCTTTCCATATCCATCTCTCTCTACTTGTTGGATCAAGGCCCCTCATTTCCATAATAGTTTGACTACATTTAGGGGTGAAAATGGCCTGAATAAGCTCTTTGTTCCAGTTTTTGCCATTATCCATGATAAGATCCTGCACCCAAGCAAATCTATTATTATATAAAGAGGCAACCCAATAAATCCTAAAATAGTAGCTAAAAAATAATTAGGATTGCTGCTTAAAAAATTACTAAATATAGTAACTTTTTTTTAAAAAATTTTGGAAATCCAGCCCAAGCATAATTTGAAATTTTTGGCCAAAAATTTAATTCAAACGTTTAAGAAAAGGATTGACTGCATATTTTTTTTAGGATATATTCAATCTTTATCTTAAGTTCCATATAATCTTTTCATTGTAACTCAAGTTTAATGTACATTGAATATTTTTATACATATATATATATATAAGAATACTATTTCTATAAGTGTTAAAATTAATAATAATGACATTATATGACAATAAATTTTAGAATAAAATAATATTTTGAGTATTATGATGAACAAAAATAAGTAAAATTATTATTATTTTTTCTATCAAAAAATAAATACATGTGTTAAAATATTATTTTTATCAATATAAACAGTTTAGCGGGCTAATATAACGTTAAAATAATTTATTTTAAAAAAAATTTTAAGATACAAAACCTTTCGTGCATCGCACGGATGCTTACTAGTTAAGTTAAAAACAATCCATTTTTTTTAAAGAAATTCTTAACAAAATTTGGATTGACATTTCTACGGGCGTGCTTGTTTTTTTTCCAAACCAACTAAAATTATTTTCTTCTCTCTAAATAATTCTCGTGCCCTAATCCCCATTTTCGCCGCCGCCTCCTCTCTTTCGCGCCGTCTACCTCTTCCCAGCGGAGATTTCGCACCGCCGTGCTGCGGCCGCCGCAGGTCAGGTCGTCTGGCCTCTCATGGGGATGGGAATTCTGCGGCCGATTGGTGCTTGTCGAGCAGTGATGCTCTGGCGGGTCCTCAATGGCGCGAGATTTTTTGACGTCTCAATGGCAGGACTGGGAGGCATGCTCTGACTTTTGTCGGGCGGAGGT